GAGGGGGGGCATGATTGCACTTTTTAAATATATTAGAGGGATAAATACCAGGGAGGGAGAGGAATTATTTAAGCTTAATACCAATGTGGACACAAGTGGATATAAGCTGGCTAGTAGGAAGTTTAGACTTGAGATTAGACAAAGGTTTCTAACCATTAGAGGAGTGAGGTTCTGGAACGGCCTTCCAAGGGAAATAGTGGGGGCAAAAGATCTATCTGGCTTCAAGATTAAACTAGCTGGGTTTATGAAGGGGATGGTTTGATGAGATAACATGATCTTGGTAACTAATTGACCATTCATTATCAGTGGGAATAGGTCAATGGAGGGATGATAGGAATTACTAGAGAACTTTCTGGGTGTCTGGCTATTGAGTCTTGCCCACATGCTCAGGGTTTAGCTGATCGCCATATTTAGGGTCGGGAAGGAATTTTCCTCCAGGGTAGATTGGCAGAGGCCCTGGAGGTTTTTCGCCTTCCTCTGTAGCATGGGGTACAGATCACAGCTAGAGGATTCTCTGCATCTTGGGGTCTTCAAAGTATTTGAAGGCTTCAATATCTGAGATATAAGTGAGAGGATTATTCTGGGAGGGGTGGGTGAGATTCTGTGGCCTGCACTGTGCAGGGGGTCAGACTAGATGATCATAATGGTCCCTTCTGACCTTAAAGTCTATGAGTCTATGAGGTGTCAGGTTGGGTGGGTGCCTTGAGTCAGCAGTATTGCCTAATGTTGAAACTATGAGAGTGAGGATGGGGAACATTAAAAAGGGGCCACTTCCGCAAGTGGCAATATCAAGGAAAGGTTCACTTTGAGTGGCAAGGGTCCATGAGGCTGCTTTACCTAGCAGCAAGAAAGGGGAAGGTGGAGAACTGGGCCCATTATACTCCAGGGCCCTTCAAAATAAGGTACATTGACACAGGATTCAGGTCCCAGTACCCTAAGCATGTTCTCTCCTCATCCCGGTCTCTCTGGCAGCATCTCCATGGTTGGACATATCCTCTCATGTCCCTTCTCCTTCATTTTTGGCAGCTCCCCTCCTGGCAACAAGTCATCCCTTTCAGTTTCTGAAGTTGGCTGCCTTCCTGCAGTGCAGTTGGGAGGCTTGACCTTGAGTTGTTCCAGTGCTTCCCAGCAGGAGGCTGCTGCACATATAACTGCTCTCCTCCTTGGTCAGTCCAGTCTGAGTTGAGCTGCTCCCTTTTGACTGCTCTCTCTCCACTGGAAGCATGCCTAGCAGAGTAAGATTGGTGTGATCTTGTGGGCCAAATATTACTTTTTCATCCCTGCTTCACCAGTGCGAGGTTCATATAACTGTTACAAGGTGCTAACCTGATTTAGGAGTCTAGATATCTTAGTGAGGTAGGGCAGGAGACTTAGGCTAGGTTTATACTACAAGGAAAAGTCAGAAAAAGATACACAAATTGCGAACCACGATTTGTGTATCTTTTTCCACTTTTCTTTTGAAAGAGTCACATTTCAGAAAAACCTTCTCTTTTGAGCCATCCCTTCTTCCTCGTGAAACGAGGTTTACAGGGATGGTGAAAGAATGCATCCACTTTTCTGAAATTTGTTTTCGGAAAAGCGGATTCATTCCTTGGACATGGCATAGCTTTTCTAGGTTACCTCCAGTATCCCAAAACCTTATCTTTACAGGCTTTGGTATAAAATCTTCTCCCAAAATCCTAATACCCAGACTTTGGAGAATAAAAACAGCTGCCACCACCCAAGTAGTCCAAGAAAACCAGGGAAGAGATCACTTGGGAAACATCTTTCCAACACCTCAAGGTTACCTCAAACTCTCTTCCCCCAAAAGAGCTTGAAAAAAGAGAAAAGTGAAAACACAAGCTGCAGTCTGTGATAGCTGTCCCCTAGTCAGAGGCATGCAGATAACCACACACAGATTTTCCAGGACACAGAAATGAACCAATACCAGGTTAATTAGAAAAAGAAAAACTTTTATTATCAAAACAAAATTACCATTGCAAGCATAGTGACTAGATGGAAAAGAGCCACCAACTAATCTAGATACTCAGGGGGACCCCTTGGGCTCAGGACTTAGTTATAAAAGGAAAAACACTTCTAAAGAGAGAGAGAAAAAACACTTTGAACAGCTCAGACATCAATTCCAAATTCCCAAACCACAAAACAATAAAAACTGATGGGTTATCTAGACTTTGCCCTACTTACACATATAAGAAATACATTCTTGGAAGAGAGACAGGTCTTCCCATCTCCCTGTTACCTGAAAGAAACCGCTAAGCCTCAGACAAAGGAGGGAAAAGTTAAACATTCCTTTGCCCCAGTTTGAAACCCCTCCCTGCATTACTATTGGCGGACCAGATACCTGGCTAGAGCCGGAGACATAATTAACTCCTTAGTCCCCAGGTGCTGGCCAGCCCTCATGGTTATGACAGACTATTTGAATTATATTGTTTAAAATTGGAAAGTGCTCAACATGGGCTTGATCCAAAACCCATTGAAGTTGTTGGAATGGAAGGCCTCCATTTTCATTATAAGACAGTCTTAGCTCCTAGAGTCCCTAGAAAGCACTCATTCCAGCCAAATTTTTCTCTTGTTTATTCCTGAAAAAAAATTGTCCTAGGAGCATTTGGAGCAGTGAAAGATTTCACTGACAGTAAGTAACTATTGTGCCTCAGAAGTTTTGCTATGTATTTATTCCTCATACCTCACTCCATTTTTTCTGAACTTTCAAAGCTTTAAAAGAGCAGTTAACTATACAATCAGCCTTAATTAAAATAAATAAATATGTCCTAATTGTTTTTCATCAAAGGAAGACATAATTTATTTTTTTCAATCCCTTCATTGTATGAAGGGGATAGAAAAGAGGAATAATTTTGGCAAATGCTGTTTTAACAGGGACATGTTGGCTATAGTTGGTTCTGAAATATCCCCTATCAACTTTTACTCAGCATGATTGTGTAACACCTTGCACAATGTTTGTAGTTAAATAATGATGATAATGGTTTTTCCGCAAAAGCACTGACAATCTTACATGAGATCGTCAGTGCTTTTGCGGAATTTCAAGCGGCCAGTGTAGACAGCTGGCAAGTTTTTCCGCAAAAGCAGATGAATTTGCGGAAAAACTTGCCAGTCTAGACACAGCCTTGGTGTCCAGGAAAGTTCTCTGGCTGTCAAATGCCTCTCCATGAGGGCCACTAAGCTACTTATTTTGTATTTATTTTAATGTTAGTCTTGTTTTAGTACTTCATCTCTTTTCTGCATATTTTCCAGGCCTGTTCAAATACCTGCTATTTTATATGAAATCAATGAAAATATTAGAACAAGGATCACTTGTAAGCAGCTCTGGTATGTTCTCATTCTGTCCTTTTATATTTATTTATTTTTGTAGAAAAGTAACAATAATGGAAGATCCTGATCAGAACATTCATCTGAAAAACCTGTCTCTTCTGCAAGCAAGCAATGAAGAGGAAGCACTGAACCTTCTTTTTTTGGGAGACACTAATAGGATGATTGCAGAGGTAAGGATCAAGCTTACTGGTATAAATTTTACTTTGGATCACCTGAGTTAAAATAGTTATAAATATTCTTGTATAAAAACTGTTTAACCTGTGCAAGGGTCTGAAATTAAATGGAAGCTGCTTTTTGAACAGATACCCATTGGCTGTGTCTACACTGGCATGAATTTCCGGAACTGCTTAAAACAGAATACTATTCCGTTTTCAGTTTTTCCGGAAAAGGAGCGTCTACATTGGCAGGCTGCTTTTCCGGAAAAGCCCTTTTTCCGGAAAAGCGTCTGTGGCCAGTGTAGACGTGCTTTTCCGGAAAAGAGCCCCGATCGCCATTTTCCCAATCGGGGCTTTTTTTCCGGAAAAGACTACTGGGCTGTCTACACTGGCCCTTTTCCGGAACAGTGTTCCGGAATAAGGACTTATGCCCGAGCGGGAGCAGAATAGTTTTTCCGGAATAGCGGCTGATTTTGTACAGTACAGCGTCGTTGCTTTTCTGGAAATTCAAGGGCCAGTGTAGACAGCTCGCAGCTTATTCCGGAAAAGCGGCTGATTTTCCAGAATAAGTGGCCCAGTGTAGACACAGCCATTGTGAAAATGGAATAAACATGTTTCCATTTTCTACTCTTACGTTTTTCACTTTGTGAAGAATTTTCAAATGTTTGTACTTTGTTTTTCTAAACATTGTGTCAGAAACAGTAATAATGTGTTTCTCTGTGCAATTGGTATGCTGATTGGTGGTCAGCTATGTTATAATTATCATTGTAATTAAACATAAATGCAGTCTGAAAAAAAAAAAGCACAGACTGATTTTGAAATATTATGTGTGTCCCACATGTATGCACATAAAAAAAACGGAACAATCATCATTATATATGACATTGTTAAACTTCTTCCAGACATACTGCATTACATTTGAAGTGGTTATAGTAACGGCTAGTAGTTCCTGTATTTTTTCCTCAAACAATATGCATGTGTAGTATATATTTCATGGGAAAAGAAACAAACACTGGTATACTGTACTTTTAAAATGAACATTAGTAGATATGCTAAGATGAGGTTACTTTATATGAATTTTGCAGAATCAATTAGCTTAAGATATTTGTTTATATATTGTGGCCATTCTGAGCTCAGAAACCTTCAGGATTTTTTTGTCATATTCAGTAATTGAAAATGAAATATAGACTTAAAAGGCACATTACTGTAGCAGGGTATTATCAACCTTTGAAATTATGAGATGTCTTCTCTAGCAACATGCTCTACACAGCTATTCACATCTTAGAAGTTTGTAATTTATTCAAGGGACCTTTTCTGAAAATATGTCTGTCGAAGGGCGGCCTTATATGGGGGAGGGGGGGCCTCTCAAGCTTAGTCCCCCTTGCGTCCTACCTGCTAGCGTGCCTATACATGTCCCTTTTGAAGTGCATAATACAGCCCAGAGGCCAAAGTCCATACACGGGCCCTTGTAGTAGGGTTAATACGGCCTGGTGGCCAGAGTCCTGTCCTCAGGCCCCTCTTACTAGACGTAATACAATCCAGAGGTCTCACAAGTCCCCTCTAGCATGAGTAATATGGCCTAGTGGCCAAAGTCTACACTCCAGTCCCCTCTACCAGGAGTAAATCAGCCTAGTGGCCCGAGTCCACACACAAGACTCCTCTAACAGGAGTAATACGGCCGAGAGGCCTAGACAAAAGGACTGTAAGAAAACGTCACCCTCACAGACTAGCTTCTGAGGGGGCATGAGGACCTGGGCCCTCCCATTCCACCAGGTTCCAGCCCAGGGTCCTGTTGGCAGTAGCTTGCTCAGCGGGGAATCCTGCTGCAACATGCTGAGCTCCTGGAGAACAATTCCCACCCAAGACTACTTCCTACTGTTCCATGTCCAGTGCTCTTCTCCGCCATCTTACTACGGGGTTATAGCTTCTCTCAGCCTGGCTGCCACTGTCTAGTCTGGTGGTGCCTATGCCTCCTTCCCCTTCTGCAGTCAGCCCAGACTGAGTTGCCCCAGGGCCTTTTATAGTCTGGTGCCACCGAGAGCATGCCCAGCAGGGCCGTGGGGAAGGAGCTTTCTCAGCCAGCGGGGCCCTGATCAGTCCCTGTTCTTCAGCACATGGTTGATATACTCCTTTACAATGTCTCTAAATGTTGGAAACGTGTAAGATAGTAAGTTAGTGAGAAGATAATAGTGAAAATGTGTTCTTCATCGAGTAGTGTCCCCGAGGGTGCTCCACTCGAGGTGCTGGGCTCGTCCCGGCGCCGCAAACCAGAGGAATTTTCACTAGCAGTAGCCCCCTGCCGGACCGCGCATGCGCGAGTGCCCCTTCGCGCCTTTCATCTGAGCGCGGTCCGGTCTTGTCAGTTTCTCTCCAACCGTCCGCAGCCGCAGACGGAGTTAGTTCAGGCTCCCTTCTCCTCTCTGAGGGGAAAGGGAAAAACCTTCCTAGTTATAGTTGTTATTTGGTTAGTGATAGGTAGTTATCTGTTACACTGTTCTAGTTGTAGTTCCCCCTTTTAAAAAAAAAAAGAAAAGAAGAAAAGAAAAGCCGCGTTTCTTCAGCGGTCGGTCAGGGCTTTCCTGACTGAAATTGACTAATAACCAAAGGACTCAAGAATGCCAGGATCACCCGGCTTCAAGAAGTGCCTCCAGTGCCAGGAGGCTATCCCCATCTCAGATGGACACTCCCGGTGTGTCAGATGTCTCGGGGACACTCATGTCCCAGCCAAGTGTAGTCACTGCGCGAAGATGACAGCTCGCGCTAGAAAGGATCGGGAGCTGAGGTTGAGAGTCCTTCTCTTCAATAAGGCTCTCCAAGCTCCGGAGGTCTCCGAGCCGCACTCTGCATCTCCTCAGCAACCCAGGCAAGCCCCCAGGACCCACGGGACGCCAAGCGCCACTGCAGGCAAGCCGGGGAGCTCTGGCTATGCGCCGAGACTCCCCGCGGGCAAGGCAGCCAAGGGCCGTAGCTCTTCTGCCCCGACTACAGCCGGCCCCAAAAGCTCCGATCCGACACTCAAGAAGGGATTGAGAGCGGAGTCGGTGCTGGCAACGGCTTTAACGGCCATTGCGGAGCCGGCAAGAGAAGCCCCGGCACCGGGAGTTCCGGCGCATGCGCACCCGCAGCCAGCTGTGACGGCACCCACAGCGCCTTCCATAGGTGCCGCTCTGGGCTCCTCGGTGCCGGGCATATCGGCACCGGATGCACCTCCGCCGCAAGAGTCTCTGCCAGCCCAGCCTCCTGCTTTTACCTTTCCGGGGGATCAGGCTGCACCGAGCCTTTACTCTGCCGTTCACGTGGCAGACGTTCAAGTGGCAGAGGCTTTTTCACCATCTCATTGTTCTGCCGTTCACGTGGCAGACGTTCAAGTGGCAGAGGCTTCTTCACTGTCTGCTGTTCTGACACAAGCACCTCCTCAGCCTGCCTGCAATGCCTCGGTGCCAACCAAAGCGCAACAAAAGACTGCAAGGGTCCGGACACCATCAATAACGCCGGACAGTGTCACCTTCTCACCTGGACCTGACTCACCTACCTCGTCCCATGCTGATTACCGTCGTCATATTCACCGTTACACGACCTCCAGGGAACCCTACTATAGGTCACCTCGTCATTCATCGCCACGTCGGTACTATCGGGATCGCTACTCGAGGTCTCCCTCACGCTACTATAGGAGATCCCTTTCACCAAGATCCCCAAGACGTACAGACTCACAGTGAGAAGATACAGCCGTTCTCCCTGCCGCAGTCGGAGGGAGGATAGATATTATCACGAGTACTCTTCTCATTCATCTCACCGCAGAAGGTATTCGCGATCGCGATCACTGCAATCTTCTCGGCATCATTCTCCACATGGTCTGCACAAGTCTACTCTTTATGTTGCGCCACCATCCTCGGCTGGGGATTTGGATTCGCAATATCAGGAGGATAAGCAGGACCACACTGCTCTTCAAGGACAGCAGAGCCCTGATTCCCCGGCGCAGCGTTCCTCATCCTCGCCGGATGACGCCGTGGTCCCTGCGGACTTGTCTACTACGGAGGACCACAAGCAGTTCCAGGAGCTCTTCAAGAGAGTTGCACAATCCCAGGACGTTCAGACCGCGGACGTGCAACAGAAACAACATCGATTGCTTAAAAATTTACAACCTTCCCAAAAGTCGAAGCGCGCTTTTCCCTTTGATGAAGCTATACTGGAGATCGCCAACGACATCTGGCAGACCCCGGCCACTTCACTACCAACTAACAAGCGGTCGGATAAGAAGTACTTCATCTCTCAGAAAGATATGGAGTTTCTCTTTACACATCCTCAGCCTAACTCCCTTGTCGTGGACGCCGCGCAACAGAGAACAAGATCATCTCAGACCAAGAATCCCTCAAATGACAAGGAGGCCAAACGACTGGATATCTTGGGCAGGAAAGTATATTCCTCCTCTACTTCTACCCTGAGGATGTGTAATTTTGCGGCACAACTAGCAAACCACGATTTCGATAACTATTTGAAACTGATCCCTCTATTTGAGCACTTGCCGGATTCCAAACATCAGATGCTTAAGGCAGTGATACAAGAGGGCTACACAGTCGCCCAAACAGCCTTGCAGATCGCCCTTGACACGGCTGACGTAGCTGCTAGATCCGCAGCTTCGGCCATAGTCATGCGTCGGGCGTTTTGGCTGCATCAGGCCGCTGTCCCGAAGGAGATGCAGGCCAAGGTGGAGGATTTGCCCTTCGATCGCAAATCGTTATTTGCTCAGTCGACAGATCAGGTCTTCCACTCGGGCAAGGACACACGTACGACTTTGAAAACGCTAGGGATGTACCCCCCCCCCTACAAACGTAGGAGATACATACCCTACAATAGACAAAGACCATTCTCATATGCGACGCCTCGCGCCAGGCCATACGAGCAACAAAGGCCGAGACAACGGCCCCAGAAGCATTGCCAGCAACCCAACAAGACGCCTGTCCAGCAGCAGAGCCGACAGCAGGTTTGATGGGTTGATCGAGGGACTTCGGACCACCCCGTTAACAGAGACTCCGGATATCACAAAAGGCGTATTCCATCATCGTCTCAGACCTTATCAGCATCGTTGGGCTGTCATATCCACCGACCGGTGGGTTCACGACATAATTACTTCAGGATATGTCATCCCCTTCACCTCTCTTCCCCCTCCCTCCCCTCCTGCCCCGTCCCTTTTCAGGGACCCCTCTCACGAGACGCTTCTACATCAAGAGGTGTCACGCCTTCTCATATTAGGGGCAGTGGAAAGGGTGCCGACACCCTTTCTGGGGAGAGGGTTCTACTCTCGCTATTTCCTCACCCAGAAGAAATCAGGGGGTTGGAGGCCTATCCTGGACCTATGTCGGCTCAACCGTCATCTGAGAAGGCAAAAATTCAAGATGGTCACGTTATCTTTGATCATCCCGGCTCTCGACAAAGGGGATTGGTTCACGTCCCTCAATCTTCAGGACGCCTACTTCCATATAACGATATACCCGGCGCACAGAAGATTCCTTCGGTTCACAGTGGGGTTCGACCACTATCAATATCGCGTGCTGCCTTTCGGGCTATCGGCGGCCCACGGGTTTTCTCCAAGACCCTCGCGGTAGTGGCGGCCTACCTGCGATGCCTCGATATTACAATCTTTCCATACCTGGACGATTGCCTGCTAAAGGCTTCCACACTCAACGAGGCTACGAGGGCAGTGTCTGTAACTACCACTCTGTTCACAGCCCTCGGGCTCATAATCAATCTCGAGAAGTCCTTCCTAACACCTACTCGCGACCTGGAGTTTATCGGAGCAAGACTCGACTCCCTAACCGCGAGGGCATACTTGCCGGTAAAGAGGTTCCAACTCATACAGGACCTGGTAAAATCAATATCAATTTCTCCAAAGTCCCGAATACTTACCTGTCTGCAGCTATTGGGACACATGGCAGCCACCACATATGTGGTTCCGCATGCCAGACTCCATATGCGAAGTCTTCAACATTGGCTGTTCACCGTGTAAACGCCCCAGGTGCGCAGTACAAACAGGGTGGTTTCTCTGCCCAGTCAGGTGCGGACTTCCCTGACATGGTGGGACAACCCCAACAACATGCTAACAGGGGTCCCCTTTCATGCCCAAAAAACCATCTCTACAAATCACTACAGATGCCTTTCTACTCGGCTGGGGCGCCCACCTTCGGGAGCTCCGTGCGCAGGGTCTCTTGACGCCCCAGGAATCTCTACAGCATATAAATTTTCTCGAACTAAGAGCAGTCTTCAAGGCTTGCAAGCACTTTCTGCCCATCATCCGAGGACATTTCATACAGATTCTCACCGACAACATATGCACGGTGTATTTTATCAACAAGCAGGGGGGGTCGCGCTCCCGCTCCCTGTGTGCGGAGGCTGTGCGCCTGTGGAATTGGGCTATTCAACAAGGTATCACCACAACTGCAGCATACCTCCCTGGCAAGGACAATGTAATTGCCGATACTCTGAGCAGGCATTTCCTCTCACAGCACGAGTGGGAATTGCATCCCGAAGTGCTCCGCGACATCTTCTTGCAATGGGGTTTTCCCAAGGTGGACTTGTTCGCCACTCGACACAACAGGAAATGTCCTCAGTATTGCTCACGAGCAGGCATCGGCACGAACTCTCTCGGGGATGCCTTCCTTCTGGACTGGGATCACCACCAATTGCTATACGCCTTTCCTCCTCTTCCACTCATTCCAAGGGTTTTGGAGAAGATAGCACTGGGCGGCGCAACAGTGATTCTGATAGCACCTTTCTGGCCCAGGCAGATCTGGTTAACACAGCTGTTGAGAATGTCAGTGGCCCATCCACGACGACTACTGGAACTGTCCAATTTGCTATCTCAGAAACATGGCACAATTCTTCACCCAGCCATCGACCGCATGCACCTCACAGCATGGCTTCTAGCTGGCTCCAAGCTTCTGAACTCTCCTGTTCCCAAGAAGTGAGACGCGTGTTGATTAACAGTAGGCGCAATACGACACGCAAATCCTGTCTCCATAAATGGCGTCATTTCCATTCGTGGTGCTTGGCAAGGGATCTTGACCCTCATTCGTTGTCTATACAACAGATCCTAGATTATGTGATGCATCTAAAGACGACGGGACTAACTATTTCTTCCCTGAGGGTGCATCTAGCGGCAATTTCAGCCTTCCGTCTTCCCGTTGACGGCTATTCAGTGTTCGCCCACCCTATCACCAAGAGATTTCTGAAGGGGTTAGGCAACTTGTATCTGACCCACAGGATCCCACCAGAGCCTTGGGACTTGCCTCTAGTATT